TCTCTCTCTCTCTCTCTCTCTCTAAATATATATATACACTTTGCTGGTTTTTGTGTTTCTCTAGAGAACCCAATCTAACACATGTATAGACTTGAATAATAATATCTGGTCTTCTTTGTAAAAACAAATGCCCATTGTTACTGAGTTGATTCTGACTCATAGTTGACCCCCATTAGGTTTCCAAGGCTGTAAACATTTATGGAAGTAGATTGCCTCATCGTCCACCCATGGAGCAGCTGGTGGGTTTGAACTGCTTACCTTCTGGTTAGAAGTCAAAAGCCTTATGCACTGTGCCACCAGAGCTCTTTGTGTTCCTTGTAGATATTTGGATATTATCCTATTAGTGACAGCATTGTACTTCAGGTTAGATCTTGAAATGTTCTTTTTGATGATGAATGTGACACCATTCCTCTTCAATTTGTCATTCCTGGCATAGTAGACCATAAGATTGTCTGATTCAAAATGCCAATACCAGTCCATTTCAGCTCACTAATGCATAGGATGTTGTTGTTGTTTTTGTTATGTGCCGTCGAGTCGGCCCTGACTCATAGCGACCCCTCCTTGGGTTTCTGAGGCAGTATCACTACGGAAGTAGGATTGCCCAACCTTCCTTCCAAGGAGTGGCTGGTGGGTTTGAACCGCCATCCTTCTGGTTAGCAGTCAAGTGCTTTAGCCACTATGCTACCAGAGCTCCTGATATCAGTCTTTATCTGTTCCATTTTGTTTTTGACAACTTGCCATTTTTCTTCATTCATACTTCGTACATCCCAGATTCTGATTATTAATGGATGTTTGCCACTGTTTCTTCCTGTTTTGAGTTGTGCCCATCAGCAAATGAAGGTCCTGAAAGCTTTGCTCCATCCACATCATTAAAGTCAACGCAACTTTGAGCAATCATCTCTTCCCCAGTTGTATTTTGAGTGCCTTCCAACTCTGGTGGCATAGTGCCTAAGGCATTTGACTGCTAACCAAAAGGCTGGCAATTCAAACCCACCAGCCACTCCTCTGAAGGAAGACT